CGCCCTATATATAATATATCCACATGCAATTTTTCAGCGGCGTAGCCAGGATTTTTTTCGGGGGGGCTGATCAATTTTTTACACAGCAGTGCATTAAATACCTATTAGMACGGCCGAAGCTATAGAAAACTAACAAAATAAAGATGACAATTTAAAATTAGTAAAATACAATTTAAGACTTTTTGAGTGAATATTTTAGATCATTGAAATAATTTTTAAATTTTAACATTTTGGGGGGGGGCTGCAGCCCCCTTAGCTCTCCCCTTGGCTACGCCACTGCAATTTTTTGATTTTTACTGAAAATTGATTTATTATACTTAAATTCAAAAAGTTATAAAACTATATCTCCATTTATATATTATCGAAATAAGATTCATTGAAATGATTGATTCCTATATGAGAACGGCTTTTGCTAAAGTATTGATTGAAATTATGATGGACTTGTATGTGTTATATAGTTATATTTTAAAAGAGATAATTTTGATTTAAAGTTCTTTTTACACATACTACCAAGGTACTAATGCTCAAAAGTTTACATTGCACTTCTAAAGTACCTAAATAGTTTTTATATTATATTTTTATATTTTGTGGATACAAAATGTTGTGTTATTTTTTACACTAAAAATATGTTCTGATGATACTTGGAATTTTTGTTCCAAACGTGGGTAAAATAATCCGGTCTTGGTGGTAGGACTTCACTGGATACCGGGATCAAAGTATATTGATACAAATCATGGTTTATACTATAAAAAACCTTGAAAAATATTTTTATATTATAGACATTATTAAATGATGGACAGAATAGATGGTACCTACCGCACGTTACTATATGCAGGCATTGTAATTTATTTACCTATATTATATTGTATTATTTTTGTTCATTTAATTATTTATTTTTTCATTTGAAACATTGTATAGAACAGCTAGTGTTTTTTAAGATTTTTGGATTACTGAACACCAAACAATAATATTTTTTCATGTGGATTATTATTAATAATAGCTATAGGCAGTTATAGTTAATAATAGTTATGGGCTATGGTTGTAAACTCTCCTGCAGGTGTTAAACTCCCCCTGGTCTAACTACTTCAGTACTATTACATTTCATTAAAAAAAAATAGTAAATTATATAATAATAAAAATTAACACATTTAGCTGTAATAGGCTATTATAATACAAAATATAAATGAATACAAAATCATAAAATAAATCAAATATACATTTAAATTTCTTTTAAAAAGTTAATTAGAAATAAAAATTTAAAAAAAAAACTCACCACGAGAGTATACACATTTCTTTCAGATAAATATAATATTGACCCGAGATAGTTTACTGGTTTTAAAAATTGAAAGAGTTTACAACCATCCATAAATAACTAATCAAAAAAGGAGGGAAGAAATGTTATAGTTATAAAATTCATATACGAATTATTCGAGGAACCCCATGCAAGGTTCTACAGGGCAAAGTTAAAAAAACATTGTTTTGATGGGTGTGGAACTTTGGAGCTCTTACAGGTTATTTTGAAAAGAAAAATTCTTCCTGACCCCTCAAAAAAAAAAAAAAACATGGATCCGATTTAGCTTTGTCTTTTGACTTAAGATTAACTTTATATTATACAGTAAGCTTTGTCAATTCCCGTGATTTTGAGATGAAAATTCTGGTATAGGAACAATAATTAGAGGAACTAACTATGTATTATCAATACCAACACTGAAAAAAGGTGCTATAAATGTACATACAACACACCTATTACCTATATATTATAATAGTTCTTCATTTTTTTTATCAAAATCATTTAAAGACGACTGAGGTAATTTCTGTGGTCTATGGTAGTCGGTTCAATGAATCACTGTGTACACACTATAGCAAGCTTACTGTATTTAACCTTAATGCGTTTAAATTTATCAACAAATAAAAATACTAAGTCATGATCTATAGTGCATGTATATATATATATTATAATATAATACCTGGTTATATAATTATGTGTCTTAAGTCTTTTAAGTCGAGACATCTGAGGACCTACGCGAACAAACAATGTACAATAATTATAATAAGCGTCGAGCTATTAT